TTTGAACCTCCACAGTACCTCAAGGTGACATCCACACGTCTCTGAGTTTACACTTAGTAGGAATGCACAGGGTATTAATATGCTTATATTCCCTTATTTGTTTTGCTAGTGCAGACTGCTTTGATTTGCAGTAGCACTAATGTTGCTGGTTTTGTTACTGTGAGTGCATCTTCTCAGTTTTCAACTCACTCGACTTGTCTGAATCCTGAGCGCTGTAGCTGCAGTGTTTGTTAAATCTGAAGCTACTTCAGTCGCTGTTGCACTGAAATCTTAATGCTTATCGGAGTGCATTAATGCAGCAATATTTTGCTTGTGGAAAATAAGATTATTCATCATTTGTTTACACACGGCAAATGTATTAATTCTTAGATTTAAGACTTCAATTCTACTCAAGGTTAAGCAGAAGCAGGTCCGACCACATATTTTGAGGAATTATTGAAGTTGAAACATTAAATTCAATGGACACGGTGATATGAAAACTTCATGTACAGAAGATAAAAGCTTTTATTTGCCATTTGTAGAAAGATTAAAAAACAATATGTCAAAACATTTATTAGAATATTTCTATGTTTTCAACTATAACCGAATACTTTCAGTGAACATTGAACATCATTATTTTTACATGGAAAGAATAACCACTGAAATATCTTAAATATTAAAAAAGTCTTAAGTTTTACTTATTTAAACCTCTCGACAAAGCATTTCCATTTCCACGTGAAAGTCCCCTCTGGTTCTGGGAATGCTAATCGCTCCAGCAGGTTTTCTGTGTTGCCTGCTCGTTGCTGTCAACAGCCGCTATCCTGAGCTCTCATGCTGCTTGCTTGTTTTTCTTGTTAATGATCATTTTCAGCTGCTATTTTCTACTTTTTGTAACATATCTGCTATGAAAAATGGATCGCCCATGAATACTTTTATATATTCATAACTACATGTCTGCTGGGAACAAATGCTAGCAGAATTATGGCATTTCCTGGAGAGTGTACACTATAAGAAAACGCTAGAAACTGAGAGGAATAGCCCAGCTCTGACACCTCACTGTCATTTTCCCTTGCTAGGTTCACATCCTCCACCCTCCATATGTGCCTGTGAAACACCGCAGCCTCTTGATGGAGTACGTCTCACTGGCTAAGACCAGACTGGCTGACCTCAAGGTAAGAAGAAAAAGGAAAGAAGAAGGTCGTTATCACCGTGTTAATACAATAAAAACAACACTGTGAGTGGATTGTGGTTAATAGTGTAGCACACATGAATTAAATATCATGGTGTGTGTGTGTGTGTGTGTGTGTGCAGGAGTCAGTGGAGGACATGGGTTTATATGAGGATGTTTCGGCTGCAGGTACATCGGTGCAGGTAACAGTGACACGCAGTGGATATTCTATTATAATTTTAATTTTTGATACATATTCTATTCCATGCTGTGCCCTCCTTCTGTTTTCTATGCTCTGTTATTCTATTCTGTAACCCGCAAACTGGCATCAGAACCCAAACTATCTTCTACGTCTTAAGTAACAA